TTCTAGGTCCCTGAGGAATTGCCACACTGTCTTCCACAATGGTTGAACTAATTTACACTCCCACCAACAGTGTAAAAGTGTTCCTATTTCTCCACATCCTCTCCAGCATCTGTTGTCTCCAGATTTTTTAATGATCACCATTCTAACTGGTGTGAGATGGTATCTCAATGTGGTTTTGATTTGCATTTCTCTAATGACCAGTGATGATGGGCATTTTTTCACGTTTGTTGGCCTCATAAATTTCTCCTTTTGAAAAGTGTCTGTTCATATCCTTCGCCCACTTTTGAATGGGTTGGTTTGTCTTTTTCTTGTAAATCTGTTTTAGTTCTTTGTAGATTCTGGATATTAGCCCTTTGTCAGATGGGTAGATTGCAAACATTTTTTCCCATTCTGTTGGTTGCCGATTCACTCTAATGATGGTTTCTTTTGCTGTGCAGAAGCTCTGGAGTTTAATTAGATCCAATTTGTCTATTTTGGCTTTTATTGCCAATGCTTTTGGTGTTTTAATCATGAAGTCCTTGCCTATGCCTATGTCCTGAATGGTTTTGCCTAGGTTTTCTTCTAGGGTTTTCATGGTGTTAGATCTTATGTTTAAGTCTTTAATCCATCTGGAGTTAATTTTAGTGTAGGGTGTCAGGAAGGGATCCAGTTTCTGCTTTCTGCACATGGCCAGCCAGTTTTTCCAACACCATTTATTAAACAGGGAATCCTTTCCCCATTGCTTGTTTTTGTTAGGTTTGTCAAAGATCAGATGGTTGTAGATGTGTGGCATTGCCTTCGAGGACTCTGTTCTGTTCCATTGGTCTACATCTCTGTTTTGGTACCAGTACCAGGCTGTTTTGATTACTTTAGCCTTGTAGTACAGTTTGAAGTCGGGTAGCATGATGCCTCTAGCTTTGTTCTTTTTGCTTAGGATTGCCTTGGCTATGTGGGCTCTCCTTTGGTTCCATGTGAAGTTTAAGGTGGTTTTTTCCAGTTCTGTGGAGAGCTCTTCTTGCTGCATTGATCCCTTCATCATTATGTAATGCCTTTCTTTGTCTCTCATACCCAGTTATACAGGGTATAAAGGTATCTTGGCTTTTCTTTTATCTTGTATGAGTCAGCACTGCTTGGAGAATACACGTGTCCAAACCAAATGTCACTTCAGGATGAAACTTGGTAAATAGCCTGAGGTCACCTTCCCCCTTTCATCTTCTATCAGCTTCAAAGTTTTGGTAGATAAATATACTTCTCCTCAATCTATGATCTACAATCTGAACTTAATGCTCTTAATTGTAATCATGGAAACTGGAATGACAACCCAAACTTATTTATTTTTATCACTTATTAGGTACCTGCCATCTACTCTCCTGAAGTTAGGAGTGATACGATAAGGTATAAATCCTTTGTCCATTTACTCCAAGAGCTCAGACTACAAATGAGAAGATGCCAGGTTCTATCTCACTATATGATGCAAGAGTTTATATTGTCATTTATGCGTGAAAACTTTAATTTACCTCAACTATGGGAAAGAAAGTACATTCTTTTCTAAGCCCTGAGGGAAAAATATTCTGCTTCTTGCTTCTCCCTAATCCTGCCCTGGTAGATACCTTGATACAAATGCTGACAATCTTGCCTATTGCCAATTCAAATGGAATGCAAAGAACAGCACAGGAAAGGATATATCCCACTAGAGTTGGTGACAATTGCTCCATTCTCAGGAAAAGTCTCTGGAGGTTGTCTTGCCACCCTGAAGTGAAAAGCAAGCTGAATTTATGTCCTCAACACTTTCAGGTTCTCAGCATTTGCTGATTGCTTGATTCATTTCAATGGAATGCGGTCACATCAATGTCATCTGCATTAGAAGGTGTTTATTACCTACCTCTATTGAGTCCTATGCTGTGTTGTAATGCAGAGCAAACAGGTTTTCTGCAACTTGGAAATTTCTGACAATGACCTAGAATGCCGAGATGGACAGAGGGAATAAAGACAGCTGAGCAAATATTGAAGAAGTCTAAGAATTAATAAATAATATTAACATTTTGTACAAGTACATAACTTTAACTGGGAATGCTGGCAGGGAACCTTGAGGAGTGTGTGCACAGACTGGATAAGGCCATGGAGAATTCACAGCCTTTTTTCTAATTAATCTCATGCAATGTAGCAGGCTGATAAAATAAATCTGACTTTCCCACAGCATATTCTAAACCTACTTTGGAGACTTGGAACTTCCTCAGAAAGTCAGGTCCTATTAGCATTCTCAGAGCATGTCAGTTACTCATTGCTGGCTAAAGGCAAAAGCTCTAGCAACTCTAAACCCTTTTCACATTAAGGGTATAAAATTAATTTCCCTCCTACGCCTCAACCAAGCAATCGATAAGCAACAACTATTTGTACAACATTCTACCGTTATCCCGCATCTCTCTTTTGAATCCCACAAGAGACAAGCAAGACGTATCTATCAGCCAACAAATAATTATCTAGTGCTAGTGGTGGCCAGTCCAGTGCTATAGACCTATACCCAGAATTACATGATCATCTCCACCCTCAGCAAGTTTACAATCTGTTTGTAAGGCAAGGTTGTGAGTGTTCAATGGCTACTTAGAGAAATGAAGATCGATGAGGACAGATCTGGTTGGAGAAGTGTGATCCAGGATGAAATGCAAATAAAATTTGGAAGGATGCCAGAGTTATGGCTAAGAAAAAGAAACAAAGGCAGTTGGAGAAAAGGTAGAGGAACCCTTAGAAGACATGACTGTGTTCATGTAAAATCTGGAGAGTGAAAGAGAAGTGGCTAATTGGTCCATGCAGCACCTAGCGCAAAGCCTTAAATACAAGATGTACTCAGTAAAGACAAAACTGAAAAAAGAAGTTGGGCCTTAACTACGCAGTAAACTTTCCCCAATTTTAATCAAATAGATAACCACTGGCTCTTCTGTAGAGGGCAGAGGTTTCTTTCCCGGTACTTCCCTAAGAGAGTAGAACTGTCAGCACGGTTCCTATTTTGTAAATAGAATAAGTTCTAATATGTTTCTATTCTATGAAAAGAGCAGCTGTTAAAAATTTTCCATAGGCGTATGAAAGCAGTGTTTAAGGAAAATTGATATGGCCATGATATGTGATTCAGGTTAGAGTAAAGGGAGAATGATATCAGCGAATGTGGCTAGAAGTGAGGTGCATCATCCAGGTGAGAGAAAATGAAAGCCATTAGGGAAGTTTCAGGGAGGAAGAGAACAGAGATGCATAATAAAATTTTAAAAATTAAAAATTACATAGTTCAAGTTGATAGAACTTGATTATCAATAAGATGGAAAAGGAAGGAAAATATACCAGATATTACTATGATTTATAATCAGAGGAATTCAGAGGAATCATTAGTGACAGTATGATGAGAGTCAAGGAGGTTGTTGTAGAAAAGACAAGTTTTTCGAGGAGATAATTCTTTTTTTTTGAGACGGAGTTTCACTCTTGTTACCCAGGCTGGAGTGCAATGGCGCGATCTCGGCTCACCGCAACCTCCGCCTCCTGGGTTCAGGCAATTCTCCTGCCTCAGCCTCCTGAGTAGCTGGGATTACAGGCACGCGCCACCATGCCCAGCTAATTTTTTGTAGTTTTATAGAGACGGGGTTTCACCATGTTGACCAGGATGGTCTTGATCTCTTGACCTCGTGATCCACCCGCCTCGGCGTCCCAAAGTGCTGGGATTACAGGCTTGAGCCACCGCGCCCGGCCGAGATAATTCTTTCTTTCATCTCTTCCAATGTGAATGAGAAACAGTGGTTGGTTTTTTACCATTTTCCTGAAAATAAAAGGCTCTCTCTCAAAAAGAAAAAAAAGGAAGACAAACGCCCAGAAATGCTAAAATAGATGGCCAGCAGGGACTTTTCCAAAGCCCTTCGCTTAGCTGGACTAGGTTCTAGGCCTCAGAGCTGACTGTGGGTGGATGATAAGGAAAGCAGTATGACACGGTTTGACGAAAGAAGGGGCAGGGACACCAAGCCACTGCTCTGCTACCCAGTTGGAACATGCCTGGAATTGGTTCTTATTACATAGAATATATCCATGCCTGCAGTTCCATCACTGTCACCTCTACCTCCACACACATGAACCTGTTCTCCCGACTTTAGTTAGGAAAGAAGAGGACAATACAACACGTAAGAAGAGATAGATGAGGACAAGCGTTTAAAATAATTGTTCAAAGGCTGTTGGCACATTTTCCAGATGATTACTGTCTGGTGGACAATACTGTATTGAGATAATCTGTACTGGGTGGATACATTTCCTTTTGTTTTGTTAAAGAAAGGAGGACAGGTAGTGAGTTGCTCCCTGGTCTGTACCTCAGAGTACTGTTTTATCTAAGTTTTAAAAAACACCTCACAGGAGCACAAGACTTTGTCTCAAAAAAAAAAAAAAAAAAAAAAAGAAAGTCCTAAAAATAAGTAAATAAATAAATAAATAAACACCTCAAATTCAACTAGCTGTGGCATTTTTCTCAGTACTTATATCACTATGCCCAATTTAGTTTATTTTAATAAAACAGGAAGACATGCTAAACACATTACAGGCTTCTAAAATTACTCCTTAATATTTATTTTGGGTCAGTTTTAAAAGGCTTATGAATCCGTAGCCTTGAGTTAATATTTAGCATAGTTGTTAGCTGAGTTCTAACTTCGGTCACCTGCAACTTGTAAATCTTGCCCCGAGATGGACTACGCTTCCCAGGAGCACCCCCCAAGAGAATCACATGAAGTGCATTCTGGGAATTGTAGTCTTGGCTGAGCTTCTTTTCTCCCAGTCTTTGACTCACGCCCTGATTCCGGTTGAACCCATGGGCTACCAATTAGCTGGGGCCATGTCGGTGAGACGGTGGTCCAACCGGCAAAGCTGGTGTGGAAGCCTTGTACAATGATTGGCCAATGGATGACCCCGGGGCGGAGCAATGGGGACGGGCGGGGAGACCACAGTGATTGGACGAGACGTCCGCGACGGCGGGCGGGGATTGGCTGTGCGCTGGGTCAGGGAGGCCTGGGAAGGGGCGGAGGAGGGAGACTAGAGCAGGAAGAGCAGCGGCGAGGCGGCGGCGGCTGAGTCGGTGGTGGCAGAGGCGAAGGCGACAGCTCTAGGGGTTGGCAGCGACCCTGAGAGCAGGATGCGGGTCCGGGTAGGGCTGACGCTGCTGCTCTGTGCGGTGCTGCTGAGCTCGGCCTCGGCGTCCTCGGGTCAGTATCCGCCCCCTCGGGCTGAAGGCCCAGAGTCGCCGCCCCCCAGCCTCTACCGCCGGCGGGGCCGTGGGGACTCCAGGCTCGGGACCCGGTTCTCCCTGGGCACACCTCGCACCGGCTTGTCACTCGCTGTTTGGCTTTGCTTGGTCTGCGCCAAAGGGGTGATTTAGGGAGGTGGAGTTGGGTAGAAAAAGAAGGGGCGGTCACCCTGCCCACACCTCTCTCCCACGTAACAAACTTTACGCGACTCTCTCTCTCGAACGAGGAGTTAACTCCAAGGGAATGAATCCTGACACAGGAGGCCGAGGGGGAGCTTCCTCGACCCTGGGGTAGATTATGTGTTATATCGGATCTGGAACTCTGGGTTTGTGAATTGTAAGTTAAATAATTGACAAACCTGCAGCTGTCACTTTGGGGCAGAGGAGGATCCCTCCAGACCAGGATGTTGACAGTAGTTTGGTGAGTTTGCTTAACACTTGAGATGGTCCCTGATCTGTTTGTCTGTTTCAAAACGGAGACATTTGATCTCATCGTAACCACTTTATTCTTTTTTGAAACCTTCCTGTGAAAGCAGTGACCTTTGTGACAGTGTTTCTGAGTTGCCCCATGTTTGTTGACAGTGATTTTATGATTTGGGGGAAAATCTTGGTTCTTATGAGATGCATTTTATTTAGATATAGAAATTTGCTTTTGAATTGATTTTTCAATTAGCGAATTTTTATTCTGGTTCTGTTTTTTACCCCCTTGTTAATATTTTAATCTGCCTACATTTGAAAACTCATTTTGAGAGTGTTCATGAAAAACTTAGTGTTTCTAAGTGTTGATAAAGAAAAAATAGTACAGTAAAACTTTGGAATCTTAATCTGTTTCAGTTAACAGGACAGCTGCTCTGTGGCTTCATGTTTTTGGGGGACAACACAGAGTATAAATGCCAACTTAAAAAATGTCAGCTTTTTTTTAACAGAAAATTCCCAGATGGTTATTTGAATCCCCGAATTACCTGTCCTAGTTGTAAATCAATGCCATAACGTCATTCTGCTTCTAAAATAAGAGGGCTAAACCTAAATTCTATCCATGATGTGGTTTGAAATACCATTTCAAAAGCACCAACCCTGTGCTAATTACTTTACTGCCAACATCATTCCTTGAGGTCGGCTCCCCCCCTCCAGTAGTAGTGATGGTTTCAGTTAATGACCAGATCTTTAGACTGTACATAACTCTCAAAGCACTTTTAGCAGTTATTTAATATTTGATCAAAAAGCATAAATGAAGCTGTTGAGCTTAATGAATAGCGTACCTGCTGGATCATGGACCTCCTGCATCAGAATTTCTCTTAAAGGTTTGTTAAACATTTGGTTTTAGGTCTGGAACAGCTCAGGTGTACGTAGATTAACAATCTCCATGAGGGATTCTTCACACTAAAGAGAACTACAGTAATGAAAGAGCACAGTGTGTATCCCTTTGAATTTAATTGGCAGTGTTTTTCTAAAAAATTAAAGCATAGAAATGTTCTTGTCTTTCTTTGACTGTATTTCATATACTTAGAGCTCCATGTCAGTGAAAATGATACTTGAAAGCAACAGTTGGGGCTTTCAGGATGTTATAATAAAAGACTCAACACTGATGTGTTAAATCTTTGGGTTGTATTGATGTAGGTAGAGGACTGTATTCAAGAAATGTCTGCTCTGATTTCCATCATAGTTAAAGCTGTGCGAAAACATTTCAATAGTAAAGGCAAAAGCCTTAGCCAGAACTAAAACAATTTAGATGTGCATACCAAAAGGTAATAGAGACAGTACTGTGCTCACATGAAGTTCATATATCATGAAACACCTGTGTGGGCCAGGCTTATGCCTGTAATCCCAGCACTTTGGGAGGCCGAAGTGGAAGGATCACTTGAGCCCAGGAGTTCAAAACCAACCTGGGCAACATGGCAAAACCCCATATCTATGTAACTCCAGCTGTGGTGGCACATACCTATATTTCCAACTACTTGGGAGGCTGAGGTAGGAGGATGGAGTGAGCCCCAGGAGGTTGAGGCTGCACTGAGCTGTGATTATGCCACTGCACTCCAGCCTGGGCAATAGAATGAGCCCCTGTCTCAAAAGAAAAAAAAAAAAACCTGTGTAAAATAAAGTTGTATAAATTAAGCAATGATTTTTCAGTTGTCATTTTCATTCACTGAAGTGTTTATTTACGCAGGATTTCAGCCTCAAAGTTTAGATCTAAAGTTTTACTCCTGTATAAAAATCAAGTTTTTGGTGATAATTTTGTGTTAGAACGTTAGTGGTTACCCAGGGCAGGTCGCATCAATCCAGGTAAAGTATTCTCACCCAACAGAGAATCTTGATTCTATCACTGCTGGTAGCTGTTATCTAATGCCGTGTTTTAGAGGCATGTAGAAATATGATATAGTCGGATGCTACATAATAACATTTTGGTCAACAGTGGACCCGATGTAAGATGATGGCCCTGTAAGAATATAATGGAGCTGAAAAATTCCTGTCAGCTAGTGACATTGTAGCCATTGTAACATCATGGCGCAATTACTTTTTAAAAAAATAAATTTAGTGTCATTTATGTGTATAGTGTTTATAGTCTACAGTAATGTATAGTAACATCCTAGGATTCACATTCACTCACACTCACCCTCAGCAACTCTTAATCCTGTAAGTTCCATTTATGGGAAGTGCCCTAGACAGGTATACCATTTTTAAATCTTTTATACCATATTTACTGTACCTTTTCTATGTTTAGCTATGTTTATGTATACAAATACGTGCCATTTTGTTACAGTTGCCCACAGTATCCCATATAGTCACATCTGTACAGATTTGTAGCTTAGGAATAGCAGGCTACACTATATAGCCCAGGTAGTAGGCTATCCCATTTAGGTTTATTTAAGTATACAGAAAGGAAATCGCCCAGTGATTCACTTTTCACAACTTGTGACTAATAGTAGGAACGTTTTCTTTTTCCTATGAATAAATTTAAAGGAGGAGACTAAAAAGAAATTTCATTTTCTCAGGATAATGGTGAAAAGGCTATCATTTTTCTCACAAATGCATGTTTTCTTATTTTTGGCAGGAAGAGGCAAATGGCTTCACCTTTTTTTACTTTGTGCCAAGCAATGTTAGTCATTTTAGTTAGGTCCACTACCAGGTATTTCAGGTAATGATTATAAATTCAGAGAGTAGTTTTCAGATAGCAGAGGATGTTTGATTTCACTGTTTTAGTTGTTCCTTAAAACAGTATTGTGAGTCAACGAGGCAGAGGTGTTACCTATCCCCTTTTGACAGATTGAGAAACAGAGGCTGAGCAGGCTTTTGTTATTGAACCATGTGTGTGAGAATTAATATGTGATGAAGCCAGATTCCAGACCTAGCTCTCCAGGCCTCAGAATTGAAGACCTTTAGAATCAGGAATATCCTAGGATCTGTACTGATTCAGAGTTAAAGCAGAAAACAGGCTGTCTGGTCTCTCTTCACCAAACTCTAGACTTCCTGTGTTTGAAGGTATCAGTCTGTTTAATTTACATAATGAGTGAAAAAATGATTTTGTATTGATTACTTTTCTCCTAAAGCATATCTCTGGTACTTTGCAGTTTTGTTAGCCAATACAATAAAAATAAAAACTGGTCTTTTTCAAAGGAAGGTGTACAATTAATAAAGTAATGTGAACCATTATATTTTGGATGTGATGCTAATGAGCAAGAAATGTAACTTGATCCTTTTGTATTTTTTCTTGTTGCTTGATATCTGTGTTCAGATGCAAGCATTACTATTTACTTTGTATTTATTCATAACTTCAGTATCTTTAATCCTTTCCTGAATACTGCATATCAGAAGTTCCTAGGTTATAAACAACTCTTTTTTTTTTTTTTTTTTTTTTTTTTTTTTTTTTTTTTTTAAACAACTCTTTAAAAAGTTTTGTGTGCCGGGCGCGGTGGCTCAAGCCTGTAATCCCAGCACTTTGGGAGGCCAAGGCGGGTGGATCACGAGGTCAAGAGATCGAGACCATCCTGGTCAACATGGTGAAACCCTGTCTCTACTAAAAATACAAAAAATTAGCTGGTCATGGTGGTGCATGCCTGTAATCCCAGCTACTCAGGAGGCTGAGGCAGGAGAATTGCCTGAACCCAGGAGGCGGAGGTTGCGGTGAGCCGAGATCGCGCCATTGCACTCCAGCCTGGGTAACATGAGTGAAACTCCGTCTCAAAAAAAAAAAAAAAAAAAAAAAAAAAAAAAAAAAAAATAAAAAAAAAAAAAAAGTTTTGTGTGAGTATGTGTATTAGTTTGAAAAAGAAAATAGCTTATGCTTTGAGACTACCATCTGGAGCAGCCTTTCCCATTTTAGTAACTGAGAAAGAATTATCTTATTTACTGGTAATATTAATATGTAGTCCTAGTGGTGAAGAGAGAGGGCGAGAAAGAGAAGCATGATGCAATTCACATGAAATAACCCTGATGTCACAAATCATGTTTCTTGGAGTTCCAAAACACATTTTGCTATTCTAATTCCTAACAGCTTGTACTGTGTGAAATGTACATTACTTTAAATGTATTTACAGTAGTGTCTGTACGATTCACATCTTAGCTACCTATGTAACCTGTTACGATGCAGTACTAAATTTAGCAATTTAGTGATTTAGAGTTCCAACTAAAGTTTCAGTATTTAATGTCTGTTCTTGATATATTAACTAGTTCAAGTTTGTGATTAATCGCATGTACTTACAATACAACTTTGATATAGAGATGATTTTTTTAATTATCCAAAGATTTGCTGAGAATGGAGTTTGAACCATATGTTAGAAATTGGGCTTTGGGTAATATTTGTGAATAAGTTAGCATGAAGGACAATTGTTAATTGACATCATTGCCTAGTGTTATGGGCACTATGGGACTAATATGTACCATACCCTTCTCTCCACCTGCCAGAAGTAATATATACTTCGAAGGTAATCTGAAAGTGGGTGAATATGAATAGTAGCTGTAATTTAAATTTCCTTTGACTTGTAAGCATTTTCATATATGGCAGAACCTCACTAGTGGACTAGTTTTCTCAAATATTCAAAAGAACTATTGTGAGATTGTGTTGTATATTTTGTGCATAATTGAGTTGGTTATACTTCTTAGCATTAGCTCAATACTTTGATAATAAACTCCAACACATGTTTTTATTGTATTTTAGAGAGTTATAAATTACAAATAATATTTAAGATACAGCCATAGGAAGTAAAGTATAAATGACAACTATAATACCAAATTTTCTAGTCAAAATCACATGGTCTTACAGCATTCTTGTCTATTGGTTAATATCTCATACAGCTTATGGAGCAGGTAATACTGAAACTCACTCCTGAATAAAATCAGGTAATTTGAAGAGCATGAAAGAAACTTAAAGATGATCTGACAGATTTGCTGTTTTAAACTGTCAAGGAATACAAAAATCAAGCATTTGCCTCTGAACATTGAGTTGTTGCATATGTTTATGTAAGTGCAGGAAGAAGAGTAACACGCAGCCAGAATAGAAGTAATAGTCAGAAAACATGCAAAGAGTAACAGAAGCAAAATTAATGTAATCAGACAACACCAAAGCAGGCTGTGTGAATTTTTAAGAAAGGTGTAACCATTGGCTGTTTTTCGTTGTTTAATATAAGCTATTGATTTCTTAATATATAGCTCTCAATTGAGTCAATATGTGATAGGATCATGGTGCTTTTTGCCTGTATCTGCTTATCTCTTAGAAAAGTAGAACACAAATCCTAAATATATTTGTTTTGCAACTCTGCTATCAAACAATAATTCTTAGTTTCCATCCTTACTACTACTAGTAAACAATAAAAATGCTATTTAGCACTAACATGGGCTACTCTAACTCAAGATCGTGAGCAGAGAAACAGAATAGGTGGAAGCCCGGAGTATGAAATTAGAGATTTATTTTTATGAACTTAGTAACTCATTCTAAGAAACAGACTAAATAGACTCACAAGAATTGGATGGAATGTGAAGAAATACCTGTTTTTGTTGGTGAGTGTTGGTTCTCCCACCTTTGTAACAGATGAAGCTAATGCCTTTGCAGGAGAAAGAAACTAAACCCCCAGCCCATTTTTTTTTCCTTTCACTTGTTCTTTTCTGAAAAATCGTTGAATATAGCTAACTTTAAAGTAATTCTAGGTTTGTATATCCAGTGTTTGATTATTATTTGCAATACTTTTCAAATGTTTTCTTTTAATAGTAACTGAAATTTCCCAACAAGAAAGATTACTAAATTGTCTTAAAATTTCTTTGCAGATGAAGAAGGCAGCCAGGATGAATCCTTAGATTCCAAGGTATGTACTAAAATGCATGTTGGCCAGTATTTTCTGCCCAATTTAAAAGCATGAATTATGTATCTTAGAAATGATATGAAATCTACAACTTTTGAGTAATAGAATTAAATTAAAAAGGACAGAAAAAAACAGATGGTATTAGTATTAGTTCTAGTTTATTTGGAGGAAGAAAAAAATCACTGATCTACAAGAGGGAATAGTAAATATTTCATTTCAACTTGAATGTGCTCTGTGTGTGTATGTGTCTAAGTTCAAAGATTTAACCTGTGTCATTTGTTTCCACTTAGCAGTTTTCAAAAATAAATCCAATGAGTTAATGCACTTACTGGTTGATGGAGCTCTCCCATCCGAGCACTACCCGAGTACTACCCAAGCCCAACCCTGCAATCAGTTATGAGCTCTGATCTTTAGATTTGAGAGTATGTAGATCAAAGCAGGAAGTAGAAGTATAAGGTATGTTGAGGGCATGTGAAGGAGAAGCTAACCCAGACTTTGGCAATTAATAAAGGCTTCCAGGGAAAATAACATCTAAGTTGAAATTCAAAAAGACTGAAAGTTAGGCAGGTGATGAAGGCACGTGATGGACATATGCCAAAGCCTATAGAGATGAGCGAGTGTGGTACTTCAGGGAACTGAAGGAGATGTGATATCTGGATTAGTAAAAATAATGGTCAAATAGGACTGGGGAAAGTCTTGGCATTGTTGATAACTAAAAAATACTTTATATTTTCAGACTACTTTGACATCAGATGAGTCAGTAAAGGACCATACTACTGCAGGCAGAGTAGTTGCTGGTCAAATATTTCTTGATTCAGAAGAATCCGAATTAGAATCCTCTATTCAAGAAGAGGAAGATAGCCTCAAGAACCAGGAGGGGGAAAGTGTCACAGAAGATATCAGCTTTCTAGAGTCTCCAAATCCAGAAAACAGGGACTATGAAGAGCCAAAGAAAGTACGGAAACCAGGTAGTCTGGATGTTTTTCTTGCTTTTTGATTTATTTAGGAGACAACTGAAATTTTTAGGCTAATGAATAAAGAGGGTGAAGAAGACTGGCTTCACTGATTATTACCCACAAATAATATATAGAGTGTGTTTTTGTGGGAATTTCTAGATTTTAATATACCAAAGTTACTCACTTAACAGATTTGACCCAGGTTACATAAGCTGAATTCAATAGATGGGATTGCATTTATCTTTTTATTAATATCCTAATATTTCTTTTTGGACTCCAGTATACAAATGTATTTCTCACTGATAAATTTTAAAAAATAATCTGTCAGGGCAGTATACAAAACAGAAACTCAGGAAGAATTGCCTAACATGCCACTGTGGTTATTTTCAGGATTGTGGTAGGATTATTGCTACAAGAACCTTGTGGATCATCTTAGGTGATTTGATTGAGGTGTCTATCCCTCTGCAGTTGAAGCGTTTGTGGACTTCAGTCCTATTCTAACATTGACCATCGTGAAACCTCTACTTTTCAATTTAAAACTTGATCTTTTTCACAATAGTCTTCTAAATATCAGCCCTTTTAGAAATTAATTATTAATGTATCGATTCTACCATGTCCTGCTACCCTTCTGTCCTTTAGTTTATTATTTCAGCGATCACTGCCTTATCTGTTTATTTCTGTTTATTATTCCATTGCTAGCCACTCTAAGGAACTGATCCAAATTTGAACTTTTTTAAAAAATAGAATTTTTTTTTTTTACTATAAATATACCATTCTCATGAATAGAAAAACTATTTTTAAAAAATTAAAAGTACCTGAATCACATCAGCTAGAAAAAAACAGCTACTCACATCATGGAAAATATTCTCTCAGAATTTTTTAGGTGTACGAATAGTTTTAAGAAAAGTAAATTGGGTCAAAATGTGTATGCTATAGCAGCCTGCATTTTGCATTTAACAGTTTACCATAAACATTTTCCCATGTCATTTAGCATTGTTTTGCAATTTGATAGTTGATGGCTATAAAAAAATGATACGTAAATATACGATACCATAAAACCAAAATGTTTACATTTTGCCGGTTGATCATTTTAGATGTATTTTTGTGTAAATCTGTGAAAATTTTTTTAGAATTCTTTTTTTTTTTGAGACGGAGTTTCGCTCTTGTTACCCAGGCTGGAGTGCAATGGCGCGATCTCGGCTCACCGCAACCTCCGCCTCCTGGGTTCAGGCAGTTCTCCTGCCTCAACCTCCTGAGTAGCTGGGATTACAGGCACGCGCCACCATGCCCAGCTGATTTTTTGTAGTTTTAGTAGAGACGGGGTTTCACCGTGTTGACCAGGATGGTCTCGATCTTTTGACCTTGTGATCCACCCGCCTCGGCCTCCCACAGTGCTGGGATTACAGGCTTGAGCCACCGCGCCCGGCTTTAGAATTCTTAAAAGCAAATTTGCTGAATTGGATGTAAAAGTTTAAAAGACAGTTGATACACATTGTTAACTTGTTCTTCAGAAAAGTAAATCTGCTTATTTCCTTTGAAAATACCTCTTTTTCTGTACCTCAGCCTAGCGTGTATTACCATTTTAAAATTTTTACTAAATAATTTAATCCATTGTTCATTTTTTAATTATTTTGTTATTTTTATTTTTCTTAGTTTTTATATTTTTAGAGGCATGTTCTCACTCTGTCACCCAGGCTGGAGTGCAGTGGCATGATCATAGCTCACTGCAGCAGCAAACTCACGTGATCTTCCACGTTGGCCCCGCAAAGTGCTGGGATTACAGGCATGAGACATCACCAAGCCTGAGGAATTTTTAAACATGCACAAAGGTAGAGGGTAAAATGATCCCCCCCTTACCACCCCTCATTCAGCTTCAATAGACATCAACATTCTGCTGGTCTTGTTTCATCTTTACTTCCCTACACACAATTGCCCTTTTTTTCTTTCCTAGAATATTTTAAAGCAAATTCCACATGTGCTGTTACCTCCCTCCCTCCCTCCCTCCCTCCCTCTCTCTCTCAAGAATTTTCTTTTCAGCAAAATCACAGAATTAGCCATTACTCCTTTATTACCTAATACCCAGACTGTTTAATTTTTCTAGTTGCTTCAAGTGTCTTTTTACAATTAATTTGTTTGAATTAGTTTCCAAGCTAAGATCTAGGTTTCTCTTAAACTCTTGCTGTTCTCCCTCCCCCACCTTTTTTTTTTTTTTTTTTTTTTTTTTTTTTTTTGAGATGAAGTCTCTCACTGTTGCCCAGTCTGGAGTGCGATGGCATGATCTTGGCTCACAGCAACCTCCAACTCCCAGGTTCAAAAGATTCTCCTGCCTCAGCCTCCTAAGTAGCTGGGATAGCAGGTGTGTGCCACCATGCCTGGCTAATTTTTTTGTATTTTTAGTAGCGATGGGGTTTCATCATGTTGACCAGACTGGTCTCGAACTCCTAACCTTAAGTGATCTGACCATCTTGGCCCCCCATGGTGCTGGGATTGCAAGTGTGAGCCACTGCACCCGGCCCCTCCCCAGTTTTTAACTGTCATTTTATTTGCTGAAGAAATGCAGAATGTCCTTTGCGCTGTACAATTTCCCACATTTTGGATCTAGCTGGTCATGTCCTTGTAATGTCATTGAGACTGTTCCGTTATCTGCTGTATATTCTGTAAACTGGGAGTTAGTTCCAGAGACATGGGTAGATTTGGTTCTGTCTTTTTATTGAGAGTATTTCATAGGTAGTGGTGTGTAGTTTCTATGCATTACATTGAAAGACATGTAGTGTCTGATTTTTCTACTTTTACTGATGTTAAGATTAATCAGCGATGTCAAGTGGTATCAGCTTTATCTCACCATTGTAAAGTTCCTCATTGATCTTTTGCCTAGAGGTTTTGGCAACCATTTATGTTTGTTGTCTGGATCTTTTACTTATTAGGGGTTGCAAAAATGGCGACTCTAATTCTGCCATTCCTCCTGCACCCTGGGATTATTTTATAAAGAATTCTCTCTGATCAAGTCTTTGATTACCCTGAAATGTGGTCTTATCAAGGAAAAGCTAGATAAACTCTTTGATTCTTTCCTTTGAAATGTTTGGAAATGAGAACTTGGTGCCCAAGCAGTCTCCAAAAGAGACTAATGAGTATGTTGTTGTTTGTGTTTGTTTTGTTTTGCTTTGTATTTGAGCATTGTAAGGATATAGGAAAAACCAAACCAAGGTGTGTTTTGGTTTTTTTTTTTTTTTTTTCCTCTTTCTCACCGAGTTAACACTTCCGACACCAGATATGTTGGGGGTATTTTTCCACATACCAAGTAAGCAATCAGTTCTGCAGAGGATTTTCCAGCAGAGACCAGCAGGACGTCTGCCAATTTAATTCAGTTTTGACACTGTCTACCTGGAGATAGCATTAGATCTCACAAGTTGGGGGCTCAGTCTCACAAGAGCCAGTCCCCCCTACTTGAGATGCCAGTCACAAGCCTCAGGTTGTCTGTGCTTCTGACTGGCTGTAAATCAGGGTTCTCACAACCCCATTCTTGGGTTCAGTTAATTTGCTAGCACTTAAGACTCTGGGAAATATGATAAATGAATAAATATAAATGTAAATTTACATTTATCATAAAGGATATTACTAAGGATAGAGAAGAAAAGCCAGATGGAAGAGAGGCGTAGGGCAAGGTATGGGAGAAGAGCTGGGGAGCTTCCACGCCCTCTCTGATCTGACCATGCCACCCACCCTCCAGGAATCTCCATGTGTTCAGCTTTCCAGAAACCCCAGAACTCAGCTATTTTGGGTTTTTTTTTTGGAAGCTTTGTCACGCAGGCATGATTGATTAAATTATTGGTGGTTGATTTATTAGCTCAACTTTTAAATCCTCTGCCCTCCTGAGGTTGGGGGGTAGGACTGTAAATTCCAGCCCTCTAATCTAATGGTTGGTTTTCCTGGCAACCAAGTCCCATCCCAAAGCTATCTAGGCACCTCTAGCCACCAATTTTCTCGTTAGCATACAGAAGACATTCTTATCACTCAAGAGATTCCAGGGATTTTAAGTTATATTTCTAGAAACAGGCTGAAGACCAAATATTTTTTCACAATATCACAAGCATCATAAATTCATGGATTCTTATATAAAGTCAGTCCTCTGTATCCATGGATTCAACCAAATATTTAAAAATATTTGGAAAAGTGGGATGGTTGCATCTGTACTGAACATGTCCACACTTCTTGTTCCTGTCATTATTCCCTGAACACTGTAGTATAACAACTATTTACTAGCATTTGCATTATATTAGATATTAGAAGTAGTCTAGGGATGATGTAAAGTGAGGATTGCATAGGTTATATGCAAGTACTACATCATTTTATCTAAGCAACTTGAACACCCATGGATTTTGGTACCACCAGGTATCACCAGTTTCTTCTCTGATAATTACATAGTGTATGTGATACTTCCTAGAGTCATGCCCATATACATCCCAGGTTTTTGTATAATGAGCAGTGTAGACAGATCAAGTTCATCCTGCTGAAGCATTTCATAAGTAAGGACTCTTCCAATAGTAAATACCTTCAGTGTGCTTGCCAGCAGGTCTCTCTTTAGCATATTTCTGAGGTGGTTCTATCATGGTTAGAGAGTTGTATCTACTTGCTCTGTTTTGGGCCATTGAGAAGAAAGAACAGATTACAGGTCTGCTGCAAGTCCTTTCTACCTCATCAGGGTTTTTGCTCCTTTTGTGTTGTCTCGTTTTACTGGTGCTGGAAATCTTAGTACCTAATGACATTAATGTTATATTATTTTATCATAATAAATATGTATATATAGTTTCAAAATAACAGTGGCCCTTACCACAAACCATGGGACCACAGAATGTGGCCCAAGATTACTTTATGGTCTTTCTATCCTCAGTATAGATTTTGCTAGGGATTTGTAATAATACAGTGTTTTAAAATCACAAATAATTCTCTGGTTGTATCAACAGCTTTATAAACATTTAGATTAATTTGTGTCAGTTTGTTTTCACTTTTCAATA